ATTTACGAAACCCCCCGATCCTAAGGTTTTTGTTTTGTTTGATACTGACGTTTTCTATGGGCTGTTGAAAAGTGATAGATTTGATCAGCTGTCAAAACAGCTGAATGCACCAAAGTGAGGTTCTCAACGGTCTCCACCAGAGGTTCTCTCGACTGCTCGCTGCTTCGCAGCTCGTCGGCGCTTGGCGCCAATTTTTTAGGGAGAAGAGATTTATCCTATATTTTTTAGAGAGAAGAGAACCTCTGGGACCAGGGTATGAGAAGCTTTGTTTATCCAATATTTCGGGATTGCGACCTTCCCCACCTCCACGAATAGCATCCTCATGGCAATCCCAACCGCTATATAGATCTCCATCGGCACCCCAATATACTATTGTTCTCATTGCTCTCCCCAGGCACTTTCGCAGAACACACACTTAGTCGGATTCAAGAGTTTGAGGCAGAACATACAACCCTCGAGGAGATCATAATCATACACGAGGAGCTGCGTACAATTGTCCTCAACACAGTGTCATCCTGTAGTGTCTGGTTTATGGTGCACTGGTTGAGTTATGGTGTTGGGGTTGTTATATCGCTAGTCTATATGTCCAAAGAATTAATTTCCAAAGGCCAGAACGACAGTCCTACGATGAACAAGGTGTACTTTGTTTTATTCTTCGTTTGCCAAGTCTATTTATTCCTACTTCCCTGCATCCTTGCGGCGGGAATCACGAGTAGGTGTCGAGGTACGATGTTTCTCTTAACCAGTGTCGACTCAATATTGCAAACACCCTTGCTTTCAATGTAGCCAGCAACCGCTGGCGAAGTAAAGTTTTCCGGTTTGGGGTCGAACTTCTGACTCTAAGAGCTTCTCCAAGTCTGTGAAAATGAGAGATGTTTGGTCACGCAAACCACATAACAAATATCAGTTTCATATAGGCCAAGGTAAGAAGTTGCACGGAAGAACCGGTGTTTTTTTTTTTTTTTCAGCTCGCCCCGAAAGGATCTTATAAAGTTTCTGTTTTGAGAACAAGCATGTCATTTTACAATAAAAGACGTCCTTCGCCTTAGAGACTCTGGATGGAAATTGTAACGTAACAGGTCTACAAAAAGTATCATGTTCTTGTATGCAGTTTTTATTACAGTACTACATAAACCTTTAAAACAGTCCGAAGAAAGTCGGAGTTAAAGGTGTTGAGTTAGTTGGATCCAAGCAAGCAGTGACAACAAAGACTAACTGTTTATAATAACATACTTATCTTTTCTATTTAAGGAGTCTACGAGAAAATCAATTCCACCACATCTAAGGACTGGACTGAAGGCCACCCATTCCAGGATCGTCGAAACATCGCTCTTTTCATTTCCTACGCCAAGGACAGCGGCTGTGGATTCAAAATCGGTAGAATCACCTTCAGCACCTCTCTGGCTTGGCTTTCCTTTTTCTTTGGTCTGACAGGTTTACTATTTCACTTCCTCTAGGCTAACACGCCGAAAAGCCTGCTTCCGAGAGCACACGGGTCTTTCGCTTTAAAGGCAATTTGAAGCAGCGTGGTCGAGTGGTCAGCGTATCGGACTTGCAATCCGTCGCTCCCGGGTTCAAGTCCCGCCTTGGCCGCTACTTGGATTTGTTTCACGGTAGCCCCGAGTTTCAAATCCTCGGCCATGCTTGTAATATAGCGAACTGGTTTGCCTTCGGCCAGTTTTAACAATGTTATTTTCAATTTGAATTATTTGTTTAAGTTGTTTCGTGGAAAACCTGTAAACTAGCTTCTAGCTAAGTGTTTCTCCACGTTAAACTGTTTATTATTATTATATTATTATTGAATATGTCTCATAATAGCCCATGACTCTTTAA